CCGCGGACTGAGCCCGGGGCGCGGTGAGAGGCGGCGGGAGCCGGCGGCCGCTCGGCATCATGCGGCGAGGGGGGCTGCTGGAGGTCGCCCTGGGATTTACCGTGCTCTTAGCGTCTTACACGAGCCATGGGGCGGACGCCAATTTGGAGGCTGGGAACGTGAAGGAAACCAGAGCCAGCCGGGCCAAGAGAAGAGGCGGCGGAGGACACGACGCGCTTAAAGGGTAATGGAACGGGCCAGCTCCTTTGGTGTGGGTGTCCCCTCCCTCTTCTCCCGAGTATCAAGATCCAGAGGTACTGATAGAGTTGATTCTCGACGGTAGAAGAATCGTTGACAAGACCTCCTGGGGGCACCTTAGAGATGCAGGGGTTATCCAGTCCTCGCCGAGTTCGAGGCTAAACCACATTGCTTCTTCCCTTTAAGGATTTCTGCCCCAGAGGAGAGGTCATGGCTAAAAGGAATCTTGGGCCATTGTCGAGGCAGAATTTGGGAGGCGAGAGGGTTCTTGAGGAAGAAGGGGAGGAGCTGCAACTGAGAAGAGGAGCAGCCCGTCCTTTCCCTTCACACCAATTCCGGTTGTGTTTAGGGAAAGTACTTGCCCTGTGGGCATCTTTGTAGATGCTCTGTGTGTAAGGGAGCAAAGAAAGGAAGGGATTCCAAGGTCAGAGAAGACACACAGTTAATGGTTGGTTCTCCTCTTAAGTCATGCTTATTCAAGTTAAGGACTGAGTTTTCCCTTCAGATGTCTACACTGGAAGCCGAGCGGGCTAGTGTTTCTGAGAACTTGTTTCGGCGTTGTAGGAACCTCTTTATTTCACCTGGGCAGTAGTGCTGCTGTGGCCGGCCTTGAATGAGTGTTTTTAACCTGTTGTGTATGTGTTACGCACATGCAATTGAGCATTTCACCAACTTCCTATGCCCTTAGTACAGAATATGTTTCAGCAGGAAATATTTAAATTAAGCAGGTTGACGGTATGAGAATTGTCAGTTTCCTGAATTGAAGCAGGTTGGGAGTACACTTCCCTTAAAATTGGTCAGGTTGAGAGAGAAGTATTTCTTTCTGAGCGTGTTTAAATTCAGGCCTCCATAGGAGCAGCGGGATGGATTGTGAATGACCCATTTTGTCTGCTTGGAGGAGCCTGTAATGAATCCAGATAGTAAATACACAGAAGTTGCTATTAACTTCTTATGATTCTGATTGTTGCTCTTTTGATTAGGTTTATAGTTTGATTATATGACCCTGAGTGAACAAGTGATGGTACCACTTGGATACGTGGCTGAACGTTCCACATATTCTTTTTTGTTAAGGGCTGTTTTAATTATATATATGTAGTGAAATTTGTGTTTGTAGGGGCCAGGTACGGGAAGAAAAAAGTACCGTAAACTGAACGGTCCAGTTTTTGAGTCCTGGTCTCGATCTGGGACAACACAATTGTCAGAGCCAAACACTTAGGCTGTGGTGAAATCTGCATGATTTTCTGACCCTAGGAAATAGTTATGATTAGTTTAGTTCCATCTTGGCCTTTGTAGAAAATAAATCCAGGATTCCAACAGTGTTAGAAAGGAAATTTGCTTATCATGTTAAGCCTGATACTGATCAGGCCGCAGGCATTTCTTCCCCTATGTGCATGGCCCCTGGCAAGTTCAGTAGATGGAAACTCAAATTTTCACCCGTTCTCAAAAGGATTTGATTTAGTCTAGAATTTTTTCTTCAAAAAATATATCTCTGCTATATATATTATCTGAATAGCCTAGCTTGATGGCATTGCTCCTACGGAGAGAGCAGAGGTGGGGGTTTAATTCTGTGGATGGAGGTCCACAGGGAGACATTAGGCCTGGCCCCACGTTTGCCTCTTCTCTGTGTGCCATCACCAACCAGCGCGTTTCCTCGGCAGGCACAAAGTCAACGTGAAAACAGAAACTCAGCCTTACTTTGTAGCGTAACAGGATGTCCATGCTTTTACTCACACCAGCACTGCTTTTGGAGGGTTTTATTTTTCTTTAAGATTATGAAGAAACACCGCTCTGTGTTCCTCACAGTATTCGGTCACTGACGCGGATGTTCCCCTGTTGCAAGCTATTCATAAAGCCTTCCCCGAAAGATGATATTAATAGAACAGTAATTATGAGTGTTCCTAATTCTCATAAGACATCTATAAGATTTTGCATGTGTAAGAAAAGTTTAAAAAAATAATTATAATTAACCTTTGTAGTGTAATGTATCATAATAAACCTTTATAATATAAAGGTTTTTATTTTTATAATTATGTTATCTATAATGTTACATATATTGCATGCATATATATATATATATTTGGAGTAAAAGTAGTCATTTAAAAGAATAGACAGTTCAAAGTAAATCCCTCCTACCTCTGAGACTATTTTCTTATGAATTTCTCTAGAAATATTATAGACATATATATACATATGAATGTGTATACATATAGAAATATATACATAATGTATATATGTATGTATATATACACACACGCAGATGTGTAGGTGTCCTTTTTAATACATGGGATAGAGCACAAGACTGTTCTGAACCTTGCTTGCTTTTGTGTATCTTTAGTGCATCCACCTACTAACATATAGATCTACCTCATCTATATGCCACTCTCTCAGCGTATAGAATCCATAACGTGACTGGAACAACTCACTGATGATGGCTCCATAGATTATATTTCCTTTTGTTGCTACTATCAGCATTCTTCTACATGGCTGCTTGTGTTCCTGTGAAAACATGTAGGTAGTATAACAATAAAGGAAAGAAGAATTGCTGGGTCGAAGGTTTTCCCATAGATTTTACACAAATACCAATTCTGACTTTAAACTTGGCTAGCATTGGAAATGTATTCTCTCTGCTTATTGCTATTACAGTCTCACATGAATAAGTCTTTCACCCACGTCGGGCTGTGTAACTCATCAGAAAGAGCAGTCGTGTGTTCCATTTTTCCAGTTATTGCTTAAAATGGCTATTTTTGCTCGTTAAAATATTACCAGCCTCAAAACTAACCTCTCTGACGACAGTACAACCTGTTTACCGTTTTGATGGAAATGCACAGTTTATGAAGTGAAAGTGATTTGTAACCCCTAAGTCTGCCTGATGCCCAGTTGGTGGCAGCAACTTTCAGCACCTCACTAATATTTCCTCTAGTTAAAAGGTGCTTTAAACTCATCAGTGTCTGCTGGGCATTGGTCTGGGCTCTCCCACAAATTACTGCCTTCTTGTCTTTCTCTGATGTGACAGGTGACTTACAGGCTTTGCTTCTTGGGATATGTATTTCTTTCCTGTCAGCAGCTTTGCTTTGCAGACCAGGGACCTGCATAGTTTTTCCCTCTCTGGGTGTGTAGTCCTAGCTTGTCTTCCTTTCCTCCCATCCTGTTGCAGGTGTTTTTTTTTTTTTTCCTTCCCACTGGGCAGCAGAAGTTGTTCCACAGTGGAAATTTAAGCATCCTCAAGTTTCTTCCCAGCTCTCGCTGTGTTTTCTTAGAGTAAATCGCCAATTTCTGTTTTTACAGGAAATCCTTTTTTTTTTTAATGGAATGAGTGTGGTCCCCATTCACTCTGCAAAAATTGCGTGTCTCTCTATTTTGAAAAGAGACCTTTGCAAGTTTCAAAAAAGTTTTAAAATAATAAATGTATAGCACTTTTGGTCTGCCTAGGCATTGCTTGACATGTGTGAAACGACTTTATGAGAAATAATAAAATCCTAGCTTTATTGTTTAAATTTCAGTTCGCAAGAATTTTTCTCAGCTAACCTCTTAACTTCCGTGATTAGGCAAAAAGTACGGGAGAAAATCCAATTAAAAAAAACACGTAACGCTACTTGAATAGCAGTAGTTATGCACCGTTTATTTATGTTTGCCTTATTGCTTTAGCTCCCCAAAAGGGACATGTTACAGTTTCCTGTCAAAGGGAAAAATTCTTTGGAGTGAAACCCCCCTTTCCCAAATCTCTGATAAGATGGATTGAGAACTTCTGTCCTTGTGGGTTGGTTTATGAGTGTATGAGACTGGTTGTACCTCACACAATCTGTCCCCTTGTACGGGATTCCTTTTGGTCTTTGTTTATTTGTTTATTTTTTTCCAGGGGTCTTGTTACCAGAAAAATACCCATGGAACAGTTCATACACAGGATAGATTATGTGACGGTGAACTCTGAGGGATTAATTACACAGGAGTCTGTTATTAAAGTAAGGAGCTTTAACAGGGAACACAGAAAAAGTTCTGTGGACTTCATGAAATCCATTTTACTTTATAAAGAGAACTTTTAAGACTTCATCCGAAGTCAGATAGGCTAATAATTAACTATGGGGGAAAACTGCAAGTGGTATGGTTTGTCTTTTTATTTATTGAATAGATTAAGCTGAAATAGTGCAACACCGTTAAAAAAAAGGAGAGATTCTTAAATAGAAATTTTCAGCAATTCCACATTTTAAACAAGAAGATGGGGACAAAATATTTATTTGACTCATTTGGTAACATTTAAGACCATAGAAATTATTTACAAAAATAAGTAAGTTGCTGGTATCACAAATTGATTAAAACATACATCCGCTTACAGTGAAATGAGTTAGGGCTGATGGCAGTGGAACTGTAGACATTCAGGTAAGCTTATTTGGAATTTAAAAAAAAATAGTGAGATATTCCTTTGTCATCTTATACAGCAGATACTTAAAAAGATTATAATATTATGCCACTGACTCTAATCAAGCAAAATACTGGACAAATTATTAGGATATTCGCACATAGTTTATTTGCTTTTCCTACAATAAACCAAGCAACAAGCCTCACCAATTTGTGAATTTTGGCCTTAATATTCAAAGTGAAAATACAATTTTAATTTTTTTTTCTTGAAATAGAAATGAACTGTATCAACCACTTCTTTGTCTCTAGACCCAACTAATCCAACACATAGGCCTCTGCTAGAAACTTGGAATTATTTTCCCTGAGATTTTTAAAGAAAACTGTAATTAGTGATATATCGGGCCTGGGTTTTGTGGCAGGCGTACGAGAGTTTACTGCTTCAAGTTTGTTAAGCTTGATTGTCCCGTTACATTGTAAAATGATCAAAGGCAAGAATCCTCTCATCAACATTGTAATACTAACTTGTCTAAGATGGGATTCAAAGAGTTTGTTAATTCAAGGAGCCTTGATGAATGCTAACTTGAATTTAGCTTTGTGGAATGCCAGAGACTTATCGCCCACAGCCTGGAGGGG